ATCTTGGTGGTCTCTTCGTGCGTCAGAGATGGAAGTGGCCGCTGCCCTTGGTAACCATCGAAAGTTATTCCGTCTGATACGGGAAACGGGCAGCTGGAGATCTGGTGTAAGTGAAACAATTTGACGAGAGTAGACAGCCTATCCACAATTTATCAAAACATTTTGAGCGTTGGGCTGAGCATTTTGAAAAGCAATTTGATCAGCCGGAATTGTTCGATTCCTCACCGGCCAGTGATTGCCCTTCTCCGTGGGCTGCCCCTTTGGATCCGTCCTGTAGCTCAGATGTCAAACGTGAGATCGGACTATCGAAGTTGAACAAAGCCGCGGGACTAGATGATCTTCATCCAGCCCTCCTCAAATTCGGAGGACCTGTCTTATGAATGATTTACACGAGTTACTAGTGAAACTGTGGGAGCAGAAAACTTCCTCAACCGATCGGAGCCGCTCCGTTATTGTTCCCATCTTCAACGGAGGCTCGCGTTCGGAATGCGGCAACCATAGAGGAATGGGTCTGATCTCCATCGCCTCCAAATTGCTTGTCTCCGTAATCCTTCACAGACCGACTGGCGCTCGTGAAAGCCAGAAATCGTGAGGAACAAGCCGGGTTTCGTCGTGGTCGTGGCTGCATCGACCACATCTTCACCTTGCGTCAGTTGTTGGAGCACCGTCACACATATTGGCGGCCCACCGTAGTCGTGTTCTTCGACATCAAAAGTGCCTTTGATTCGGTTGATCGAAGTGCCCTTTGGGACTGTCTACTCAGGAAAGGTGTGCCCGAGAAATATGTAAATATTATCCAAGCATTATACGCGCGTGGCACGGACACGGCAAGCTGTCGCCGCCCTTCAATATCCAGCGGTGTGAGACAAGGATGCCCGTTGTCACCTTTCCTCTTCAACTTTGCTATTGACGAAGTCATGGAGATTGCATTTACAGGACACGACTTAGAAGGAGTGGAGCTACTCCCAAGAGGACGACTTCTTGACTTGGCGTATGCAGACAACATTGCCCTCATCTGTGACAGCTCCCAGACGTGCCAAGCTGCACTGGACAGATTAGCACTGGCTGTCAGCCTCTTCGGTCTTTGCTTTGCACCATTGAAGTGCAAAGCTTTCCTCCAAGATTGGCAGGGATCGCCTCCTACGCTGACCCTTGATGGGGATCAGCTAGGAGTCGTTCAGAAATTCAACTATCTGGGAAATTGTATCATCAGCGCCCTTGGGATGAAAGATGAGGTCACGAACCGTATAGCAAAAGCTCGAGGCGCTTTTGTTAGTCTTCCCCAACCTATGGCAGCGGCGCGACATCATTCTCGCACTGAAGAGTAGAGTGTACAATACAGCGGTACGTTCGACTTTACTGTACGCTTGCGAAACCTGGCCCATTAGATCAGCGGACATAAAGTGGCTAGTTACGTTCGACCATCGATGCCTTCGCAGTTTGGCTCACATCTGGTGGGAACACCGCGTGAGCAACGAGCGTGTTCGATGCATTGTTTATGGCACAGGAAAAGGAAATGAACCGCTTAGAACCGTCATTACACGCACCAGGCTCCGATGGCTTGGCCACTTGTTACGCATGCCAGCCCACCGACTCCCGCAACGTGCGTTGTTTGCTCACCGGGGATGTGGGTGGAAGAAGAGGAGAGGTGGCCAAGCGATGACTTGGTCCAGAGGAATGAAGTCCATCACTTCGGAGCTAGTCTCGGTTGGAGCTTCACGGCTCCCTGGTTGGGGTCCAAAAGACGATGAACACGTTTGGCTAGATGCACTTGCTGACATGGCTAAGAGCCGATCTCAGTGGCGTTCCTGCTGTCCCTCCCCATCCGTTTTAGCATCACCTTCCAACCAAGACCCAATTTCGTAGTGTAATATACTTTTACGTAATAATTTTTCTTGTTGCCTAGTAGCCGACTGGTAGCTTTCCGGAACGATGCCCATCCGTTGCTGGTAGCTCAGCTGGCATGCAACTGTTGTATTTGTTTTCTTTTTTATGTATTGCGGCACAGTAGTTGAGGTGCTTTACACCTCTAGCTAACGTGGTTAACGATGATGACTTCCAATTCCTTACTCTTCGCTGATGATGTCAAGGTATGGCTGGCCATCAAAACAACCAATGACCGCATAGCGCTTCAGGGTAACCTGTCCTGTCTGGAGATATCAGCAAAAACTACAGAGTGCTTCATGACATCCGTCAAAGCCAATTCCTACACACCTCGGCCGGTGGCCGAGTGGTCTACACGCCTGACTTGCAATCATAAGGTCACCGGTTCGAATCCGCGTAGGGGTGGGCATCCTCGCGGTATAAAAGCAAATCGCCAGCTGCATGCCGTAACGCAGCTTCGCTGACACGCGACCACAACCAGTCGCGCATGGGCTGAGAATACTGCGAAGACGCCCGCCCCTACGCGGATTCGAACCGGTGACCTTATGGTTGCAAACCAGACGCGTATACCACTCGGTTAACCCTCGCGGTATACTCAGGGCGCGCGCAACTAGTGGTGGTCGCGCGGCAGCGAAGCGCCGTTACGGCGCACAGCTGACACATTATTATTATTTTACGCAACTCGACTGTCACTGATGCATCGGTCCTCAACCACTTTTCTTGTGACAACTTGAACAGAAGCTGTTTTCAACCATCTGTTTATAAAATTCGACCAGATCAACTGCAATCCGTATCTCACACCATCGAGATATAAACTGCTCTTTCTTTTGCCTTCCTCTTCTTTACATTTATCTTATAATATTAAACATTTCTTTTACTTTCCCGAAAGAAACAGCCCAGAAGCAGATAGCCATTTTCAGTGCTCCGCGATACTAAATACTGTATTTTGCGAACACAGGCAAATGTAGGATAAACCTGAAGATTCCTTTCAGAACTGCCTCGCATATCGATAATCTGAGCAGGCACTCAATGCGGCGATCTCACCGCACAATTTGACCGTGAAATCCGTCGATCTTTCCTGGCGGTATTTAAACACACCAATTTCTTATTTATCATCACTACCGCAATTGCCTTTCTACCTCTTCATATACTGTATTCTTCTTTGCTCCACGACTGCGTCGATCTCCCGTGGTGACGGATTTGAGCTTCCAAACTCATAGATGAATTTATGCGAGGCAAGATGCCATAGACTCCCTGAGGGACAATAAAAGTGCTTGACTCAAAAAAAACGATTGATGGTACGGACTATATGGTCTAAATGTCCATATACATATATTATATATATACATACATATATATATACTAAAAAGAGCCCTAAAGATGATTACTGTTGGTGATGGCAAACATGCTTTAAATAAACATAGGCACACGGTCAGAACAAATATGGAAGTGCAGGTGAAACCTTTCGAGGGACTAGCTTGCATGGAAGCAGGTCCCCTGGAGACGAATCCACGGTTGGCTGTATTTCTTTATTAGAACACTTAGATTTATTTGCATTTATTACTATCAACCAATACATCTATTTGAAAGATGCAACCGATCAATCAGCCCTGCAAAATAGTTTGGGAGCTGCTCTGAAAAAAGAACTCGAAGAAATATTATCCGTCTCATGTGATCCCGTCGTACATAATGACCAGACCAATCAGTTGGACTGTGCCTCGCACCGTCGAAGAATATACCCTTGTTTATTTATTTATATACGGACGACTCAGAACCTGTTTCATTTCAGCGCCACCAAGTGTAAGGTATTGAGCATACGCCACCAATGCGCTTGCGAGTACAAGCTGGGGGGGTCAAGCTTTGCAGCGTGCTCCTACTGAATGCGATCTAGGTGTGACTGTACGAGAGGATCTTGACTGCTCACGTCAGGCCTAGGTGTTCAAAATTGCCAACTAACATTGTCTTTTGCAGAGAGTATTCGGGTATTTTGACTCTTCAATCTTCTCTCCGATGTTCAATGTCTACATTAGGCCCCATTAGGAATACACCATTCACGCTTGGCAGCCCTGGCACAAGCACAACAACCTTACCACACTTGAACCGCCACAACGAATGGCGGCCAAGAAGATCCAGAGTCTATTTCATCTTCTTTACCAACTGAGAGTGAAAACCATCGGGGTCTACAGTGGACAATATTGACACCTGCGTGGCGATTCGATAATGACATATTCGATCCTAGAGAATCCAAACCAGTCATCTTCTGAAGCTGAATCACAATACCACTCTGAGGTCACCAGCTAAAGCTGATCACACAGTATAGCCGGTTGGATTGTCGCCGGAATATTTTTTTCGTTTCGCGTATGTCAACCATGTGACGCCCTTCCCACGTACGTTGTTTCTTCCCCCACACTAACGGTACTCAAGGAAGGTCTCAGCGATGCATTACGCCCTATAATACTCTATACTGGGCATTATCCTAGCGCATTTTCACTTTCAGCACATAACTTGTTAAGCGCTACTATTGTAGAAACTGGATTTACGCATCACGTCGGCCCAAGAAAGCTGTACACGAATAAGCGTTATCATTTCCCCTATTTATTTTTTCTCACATATTACACAAACTAGAACCACACCGCATATTGCTTTGTGTGCGTACATTCAATCCTCATTTCAAACTACCGTTATATAGCCGTGCAGTTATATCTGTATTGCCTTAAACCGACGATTCACTTATCCTCTGACCTATTTTTCTCACTCCAACCACCTTACGGGACTTGTCAAGCACCTGTTTTTACCCGTGATAAATCATTGTTCACTGTTCGAATTCTGCCCGTTTGAGATGGGGGGCTCATTTTCACCGTCTAAGCTGTTGCTCGAAAATGTCGGCGGTGGAGTCGTTTTCATTTCATAAGTGTTGGCAACCGACCATAGGAGGGAACCTGGGCCAGTGGCTTACAGATCTCCAGGTCGGGTAGTGTCGTACAACTTGAGACCCACGTTGGTTTTAAAAATTATTATTCCGTGCACTGAGCGCTGTGAAATGTGTGCGAAGTAAACATGTTTGGCGGGAGTTGAGCAGTAATGTGTCCATACATTCGTCTGAAGACTAAGTAAACCTGCAACTTGTCCCCATCTTAAATATATCTAGTGAAGAATTGATAACCATCCATCAAGTTCCGCATAAACCCTTTTCAAGATACGATAGGAAGATTGGAGATCGTTTGCCACGGCGAAGCGGCATAGGTTGGTTATACGGCCAACACAATAAAATGCTGTGACGAAAATAATTACAACGGTAATATACACAAGGTGTATGCACAACGGGATGGTGGAAAATATGGATCTTGGTCGAAGTAGAAAGCACGATGTTTAGTGAGAAAAATGCGAGAAGATAAAAGCGTAACACAGTTTGTCTACGTACAGTACACAATGATTTATTTTGAAAGGCTCTGTTCTTCCTGCGGCATTTCTCCTTCCACAGATTCCATTTTCGGCTGCGCAGATCCGCGTAACTGCTGCTCCCACAGTTGGCTGTAGTACGAGTTCGGTGTGTGCAACAGGCTGAAATGTGTCCCTCGTTCGGAAATGCGTCCGTCTCGTAGCACGAGAATCTCATCCGCATCCACCACAGTGCTCAGACGATGTGCAATCACCAACGATGTGGTGTCCGGGGTCACCTTTGCCAGACGGTGTAGGATGGTCTAAAGCAGGATCAAACAGGTTATCGAAACAGCATCCTGATACAAACGCAGACTACTGACAACAGTAATGGGTGGAGAAGTTGGAAAGGTATAGTTCATGTAGACTGAATTCCTAAAATCTGTACTTGAACGAAATGGCACCAAGCATCGAAAACGAAATTCGACGCACTAACAAGCGAATGGCATAGCTTTGGCTTCGTTTTTGGACGACGAGGTCCCCTTCAGGCCATTCGATCCTATCAAGCCCTAATGTGTCACAGTACTACTCCGATAATACTATTGAGCGACGCTACCGCCATCGGTACTCAGTACGCCCTCAATGGCACCTGAAGGCTTTGAAGAGTGGGCTGCACTTGCTTGGACCATTCGCATTCTTTCACCCACTGAACTAAGAATGAAAAATCATATAAATAAATAGTTTTATTCTCGGTAAAACGATCGAAATCCGAAGGTAGTATCACAAATGGCTGCAAAATGAGACTGGCGAAAGGCATCAGCAGTACGTAGTACCGACGCTTCGCCTCCGCGCAAACACCACCGGTCACATGTGGGCTAAAAATACTGCGAGAGTCAACGTGCCCCTACGCAGGCTCTAACTCGCACCGCCAGATTACAAGACCAGCTACAGGCCGGCATGTGGGACTGGTTGCATCTGCGGTCCTTGAGTCACCGGGTGTAAGGGAGTAGTGGATAATTTTTAGCCGAATATTGGGTTTACGCGTCATGTCGGAATTCTGGGGAGCGAGTCGTACTCATGCGCCAAGTCTGCAACATGCATCCTGGGTTTATAATGCGGATATGAAGGGAGGACAAGTTGGAATGAATCATGTAATCACAATGCTATATACCGTTTCGCTAAGATCCTCACCTGCTCTGTAATTGTATCCAAAGAAGATGTCGCTTCGTCATAAATCAATATAGGAGCTTTCTTAAGCAGAGCGCGCGCAATAGCAATACGCTGCTTCTCTCCACCGCTCAATTTCAGCCCACGTTCACCAACCTGGAGGAGTAAAAAAGGCACATTCAAAGTAATGAAGTAACAGCATGTGAACAGAATGTGCAATGCAGGAAACACAGTGGAACCGGTTGTTAAATTGACGACACTACTTACTCGATATCTTGGAACATGTCAGGACCCGATCGAGAAATCATCATTTCATAAGCCTTGGTAGACAACCGGTTAGTATATTTACAATGATACACAACGTTTGGCTTTTGACACAAAAGCCTCGTCAGGCGAACTGAATTAGCTTAACATTGGCATTTCAAACATACATACAGAGACTAAAAAGTTTACAGTTCATCGATGAAAGATTACAGCAGTCAAAGGTCACTAGCCTCGTGTGTACACTGTGGTTTGTTTCAATCAGGGTCAGATAGGGAACAGAAATTGCTGGTCCGAGGATGGTTACATGTGTGGTCAGCATTCTTAGGTGGGCCGTCGCAAGGAACTTGGTCACTGATATAACTTGTCTTTAGTAGTGAAGGGAGCGTTGATAGTCCATTTCGATTTGGGATCCATCCACTGATGCTTATCAACCTGGCCGGAATAAGACTGGACGCCAGGCACTAGACAGTCCTACTCCGTCAATTCTATTCACGCAGTTGTTAGTCTTGGTTATTTCTATAACCTCAGCAATCAGCTTTGTTTGGCTGATCATAATCCCCTCCTGACAACCTCGACATTTTCGAAGTCAACTTCGTGCCCCTTGTCTAGCGCATGCACTGCTATTGCCGAGTCTCTGAGTAGAGCTCCATACTCTAGCTCATTTCGCGGTCGTGATATGTGTCGCCTATGTTCTGAAATCATTGTACGTAATTCCCTCCCTGTTTGGCCTATATACACTTGCGTACAATCTTCACATGGAATTTTGTAAATGCAGTTAGTTGTTCTATCTAAAAGGAGTAAATCCTTCAGATGCACAAGCGTGGGTCATAGCGTTTGACCCTTCTGGAAAACTACCTTTATCTTCTCTTCATTCAGTACTCTCCTAATCGCTTCCGAAGTTCCTTCTTTATACGGGGTACCCACTGTCGCTATCCACTCTGTGGTCGGTGTTGCGCGTGGGTTGGAACATTTCTATAGCTGTTGTTTCACCGATCGTTTCTTTCTTTTTTATCTTCTTCCACCGTGTACAGAGCACTTGCTCTGTGAAACAGTGATGAAACGATTCCCGCGTACACGTGCTTCGGGTGGCTCGAACTATAGCTAAGTACCCCATCTGTGTCCACCGGTTTGCGATACATTGTCGTTTTTAACGTTCCTTCGTTCCTATGGACCAGGCAATCAAAGAACGGAAGTGTACCGCTATGAGACTCAAGTTCCAAATAGCTTAGCAATTCATCTTTTCTATCTCTTTATAATTGCAAAAGTGTCATCTACGTAGCGCCACCATACTTTCAGAGCACCACGGAAATTTGGTAATGCCTTCTTTTCAAACTCTTCCATGTACACATTGGCTACTACGGAGGATATTGTAGATCCAATGGCCAGACCCTGTTCTTGAGTGTACATTTTAGACTGGAATGCGAAATAAATCATGTCGAGACACAAAACTATTCCCTCGACCAGTTGATCTACTGTCAGCTTTGTTCTGTCCCCTATCAAGCAGCTTCTCACTAATCGTAACGCCTCCTCCTTGGGTACATTCGAAACTGATCATCAATTCGTTTTATTCGATGCGCACCCCTCCACTATTCGTGCAAACTCATAAGTTTTTTTACAAACGTGCTCGTTGTCCATGTTAGGTGGGTTGCAACAGGCTCGCCAGATATCTCGCGAGTTCATGTGTGGGAGAGCCTATGCCATCTACTATATGTCGCAAGGGGGTGTTGGGCTTGTGTATCTTTGGGAGACCGTAAATTCTAGGTGGAATAGCCGGTCCTTAGGTAACTACTGACATCTGATTTCTTCTTATTCATTACCGATGTAATCGTTTTTTGCTCAACCATTTTGTATGGCCCCATGGTCAAATGCTCCCTCATGTTTTCTAAATAATCTATTTTATTCATTGCCACTGTTACTTTACCTTGATCCGCTCCTATAATGACAATACTAGTCTCCTCTTTCAGGGTCTTTAACGCTATGTGTTCAGCTGGAGCAAGATTCGATTCTACTGGCTATTGAAATCTAATTAATTTTGCTAATTGAGCGCAGATGCCCTCGGCCTTTTCAAGTGGTAATCTAGCCATAACGGGTGCAACTCCAGGAATTAAATCTTCTGCCCTTAGTTTAGATTTACTGACGGTAAAATTCAGACCATTTTCTAAAACTCTGCGCTCTGTTACACTTAAAGTCTAATCTGACATGTTAACAACTCTACAATAGTTGATACTAGATACATGCTTGTCAGTACGACCATAGGCCTTAATATGTGCAGCCATTAAATGTTTGAACTTACGTATTTGCCTTTCCGTCGACTCCCGTCCTCTTGCTGCCTTAACTTCGGAGGCCTTATTTGAAAAGTCCGTCATAATCAATCTGTGCCACTGCAGCCTGTAAATCCAAGCTCAGCTGACTCGCATGGAGGCGGATTTCACCCAGACATCTAGTTGTTAGGTAGATTCTTTGTCTCAGAAATGCTTTGCCTGCTCTGAGTGCTATTCGTGCAGAGGTGTACGAAGAATCCGGAGGTTTGACAGTGAGTGGCTTGGGAATAATGTTGTTCTTGAGACAATGATGTTAAAAATCCGATGATTTTCCCAATTGGCTTTGATGCCTGCTAGGCGCACAAATTCACTCGCCACCCGAATCGCCTCATCACTGTTTCACAGAGCAAATGCTCTGTACACGGAGGAAGAAGATAAGAAAGCAGCGCAGAGGGAGGCGATGAAAAACTTAGTGGCTAGTGGATATCCGAAACGATCGGTGAAACAACAGCTACAGAAATGTCCCAACCCACGCGCAACACCGACCACAGAGTGGATAGCGACAGTGGGTACCCCGTATAAAGAAGGAACTTCGGAAGCGATTAGGAGAGTACTGAATGAAGAGAAGATAAAGGTAGTTTTCCAGAAGGGTCAAACGCTATGACCCACGCTTGTGCATCTGAAGGATTTACTCCTTTTAGATAGAACAACTAACTGCATTTACAAAATTCCATGTGAAGATTGTACGCAAGTGTATATAGGCCAAACAGGGAGGGAATTACGTACAATGATTTCAGAACATAGGCGACACATATCACGACCGCGAAATGAGCTAGAGTATGGAGCTCTACTCAGAGACTGGGCAATAGCAGTGCATGCGCTAGACAAGGGGCACGAAGTTGACTTCGAAAATGTCGAGGTTGTCAGGAAGGGATTATGATCAGCCAAACAAAGCTGATTGCTGAGGTTATAGAAATAACCAAGACTAACAACTGCGTGAATAGAATTGACGGAGTAGGACTGTCTAGTGCCTGGCGTCCAGTCTTATTCCGGCCAGGTTGATAAGCATCAGTGGATGGATCCCAAATCGAAATGGACTATCAACGCTCCCTTCACTACTAAAGACAAGTTATATCAGTGACCAAGTTCCTTGCGACGGCCCACCTAAGAATGCTGACCACACATGTAACCATCCTCGGACCAGCAATTTCTGTTCCCTATCTGACCCTGATTGAAACAAACCACAGTGTACACACGAGGCTAGTGACCTTTGACTGCTGTAATCTTTCATCGATGAACTGTAAACTTTTTAGTCTCTATATATATGTTATGAGATGCCAATGTTAAGCTAATTCAGTTCGCCTGACGAAGCTTTTGTGTCAAAAGCGAAACGTTGTGTATCATCATAAATATATTAACCGGTCGTCTACCAAGCCTTTTGAAATAACGCTACTTGTTGTCCACAGCATGATATTAGCAGTCATAACATGAGAGTGGTGAACTGTAGTGCAACTGATTAAGGAAATCACAAAGGATGTACAGACGGTGGAAAGAAATTGGTACTTAGAATAGTGAACGCATCGTAGAAAGCTTGGGGGCTAATTCTACAGTGCCTGGTTAAATAAGACGACGAATCTGCTAGATTGAAAAACAGTAGAACGCCATTTGTGCAGCAGATTTCATCTCGTTTCCAAAGCAACGCGACCGACAACGGAATAGCAGTAGGAGCTCCGATGAACCCTTATTCCTCCACGTACAAGTAACTTTCCCGTATTCGATTCAGTGAGATGACAGCACTAGTCGCCAATGGTCCATGAAGTCAGTCGCAATCACCATTCCATCAAATAGTACAAAAGAGAACGAATACGGAACGAGCCGAGGGTCTATATCGATGGACATCGGGTAGAATCAAGAAAATGATCGATAGAACATAGCTTCATTGGACTGTATACGAATCAGTAGCTGAGTATGCGCATCAATCAAATCGCGTAACCTGTGTGATCGAGCTCCTCAATTTGTGTTATCAGCCGGGAGGCAGTGCATTCAACCACGTTGCATTAGTGCAAAGAACAAACTACTCGCCCCTAATATTGGGTGGCTATGGGAGAGATAGCAATCTTTATCAACAGGCTAACATTCGCAAACACCATCTACATAGGAGAACAGTCGATACGAATATGAAGAATATCATCGAGCCAAGATGGGGGAATGGTTTAGTGCCGAAGTAGTCCATCGTCAAAAGTCAGATGTTGGGTAGACACGGTGGAGTCCCATGAGGCGTGCATAGAACTTAGTAGGTAGGAGCTGATAAAAACGATGAGCCCATGTTTGGTGTGCAAAAGCTGAATAATCGTTAGCGAATCGTATTCGCGGAAAAGATTCATTGTCCAAATAAACAACAGTACTCTTCGGCGTCAGGAACCTGTCATCAACAGAAGCACATCAGCCATTTTAACTGATGCATCATTGCCGTATAAGGTGTCCTTCGAAACAAAAAATACTAAGAGAAAGGGAACTAGCGTAAAACCTTAATGACTCAAACAAGGCACCTACACCCTGTGTCAACAACACACAATCATAAATAGCTTGCTATCGGGCAACGATAAAGCGGCATCGACGAGACAGCTACCTTTCGACTTTCACTGCCCGCGCTACAATAAGCCATTATTTCGCAGATAACTAAGCACGAAACACACTGTAAACTGATAGCCCGACTTTGAGAAGACAGCAGATATGCCAGTGTTGTCGACCACGAGTCTCAAGGCGTCACGTGGACTCCAGCCTGGAAAGCGAGAGGGACCGACGACACCGAGTTTGGTCGTCAGTGATTTCATTTCCCGCTGCCAACATAATTTTTGCCGATTTCGGGCCTTGCGCCACCCTACATCTGGCAAACAAAACAACGCGTTCCTCGGTAAGCGGACATCAGGCGTACGTAGTAAGTGTCTAAGCCAGTGCTATCTTTTATGCTAAGGAACTAGCTTGGTTATCACTGCATAGTACTCGCTTACATCTATCGTCGTTGCAGACAAGCTAGTGCCACCCGACAAAAGCAATGCTTTATAAACAACGATGCTCAAAGACTTGAAGGCGCTGTAGGAAGCCAGATCAAAGGAACTGTCTCTACGATAGAATAGGACGGTCTTCACTGTGACCTCGTAAGCACAGCGTTTCATAAAGAGGGAAACAGCTCCAAGTGGCATTTGGTGTACCCACTGTGTAGTTGGATTGCGACTCGCAATCTCTACTCAGACCTCGGTCCTCTTTGAAGTAGATTTCGGTCATTACGATCACAAGAACCGTATCCGAATTGGTGGTTCGGTGTTGCTCCTCCCAACCCTGACACCCCATAATCGGTTTCGTCCTTCTTTGGACTCATCAGCTCAGGCTATCTCCATCTGATGAGTCCAAAGGAGGATAAAACCTGTTATGGGGAGGAGCAACACCGAACCACCAAGAGGTAAACAGCTCTTTGACACCACAGACGTCGCAGATTCAGGAAGGCAGTTCTACTTTTTGTAATACGTGAACTGACTTCAGTGCTTATGCGCTCGTTGTTGCCGACGCAGCTGCCAAAGTAGGTAAAGTGATCAACTACCTCGAGTTCCTTGCCATCAAGTGTTAACGGATCATCAAGTGGCTGGTGGTCCTGTAACAACACTTTGCACTTTGAAGGTGAGAAGCGCATGCCAAATGGTGGGATCATTCTAGAGGGGTTATTCAGGGTTGATTGGACGTCTACAACATCGTTAAAGAGCAAGACGATATTGTCCGCATAATCAAAGGCAATTAGCTTTTCACCAGGCTGCACCTCAATGCCTGCATCGTGAGACTCCGCAATGAAACACTCCATGATGCAGTTCGCAACGAAATTGAACAAAAATGGTGAAATTGGACAACCCTGACGAACACCACTTGTTGTCAGAAAGATATAAGTCACCGTAGATCCAGAGGCGGCTTGTGTTGTTCGAATATAAGACACGTAAAATGTTCACATATTTCATGAGGACGCCTTTCCGCACAAATATCTCGAACATGCTGGATCGATTGACTGAACTGGACGAACTCTTGAAAATCAGAAACGCAGCTATTGTCGACTTGTGGTACGTGTGGCGCAGCTCTAGCACCTAACGCAGAGTGAATCTGTGGTCTATACAGCCCAATTCTGAGCGAAAATATGCCTGCTCCTCCCCAACCTCTTACCCAGTGTGGCGACGAATGAGAATTAAGAGCAGCGATTTCGATACCATCAGCGTTAAGCTAGTATTTCTGTACTTGGCGTAGTCAGTGCAACTGCCCTTCTACTATATCACCACTATAATCGATTCACTCCAGTTGGCTGGGACGATCTCATCCTCCTAGATATGTTCGAACGTTAAGACCGGTGCTTAGCAGAGGACCTCACCACCATCCTTAAATAGTGCGAGTGCGAGTGAATCCGGGCCAGCAGTACGAAAACGATTAAGTGCTGCGATTGCGTTTCAGACTTCAAATTTCGACGGCGCCTCTAAAATAACCATCCATGGCTCAGCCTGCATCTCCCAAATAGGAACGAGTCCATAAGCAGGTGGCCAACTGAAATGTGCTCGTAAGTGCCCCGTCGTACGAACCACACAGCGCTCCTTATTGGGAATAATGGCACCCGCGCTGTCTCTGGTCATCTCACTGACACCTGGTTTCCTGGGACCAATGGTGCGGAACGATTGGGAAAGTTTGCGATAATTGCTTACTGCTTTCTCCATATCCTACTACTAGTCCAACAGGCTTTCTTGTCAGCATGCAGGTTCCGCTTTAGTTCGCGCTTAACAGTCCATTTGGTTATATTGTGCTCAGATCCAGTGGGAAATTTTCTTCTGGATTCCAAGAGGTTTACCGACCTCTCGGATATCAAGTGATTGGTGCAGTGACGATTGATAGTGCCGCAAGCAGAGGCTTCCGCATCGCGCATGGCGACCGAGATCCTATTCCATCGAAGCTCAGTGTGATAAGGACAATAGAGCGAAAATTCCGCACGCAGGGCATCCTGGTAGGTTTGCTTGACCGAAGACTGAGATACCTGCTCAGTTGCCAACCTAGAGGGACGCTTGGTATGCCTTTCGGTAACTTTCATCGAAAAACGTCAACGTACCAAAGCATGATCAGAGTCGACGCCGGTATACCAAAACGAGCGACAATCTCGGATGGAGCCGCGCCACCTGTAACTTATTGCAAGGTGATAAATTTGGGGCCATTGTCGGCCAGCTATGGGTGGACGCCAAGTTGCACTTCGGCGCCCACTGTTTCTAAAAGTTGTGCTACTGAAAAACAGTCGGTGCTCCAGGAAGACAGACGCGCGCTGTTGTCCATATCATTTAGCTGCTTCTGAAGAGCTCAGACGGCCTACTTTAGCACTCATACCCCCTGCAAGAACTATGATATTTCATCTGGTAACACTGCGCAGTCGCGTGTTCAGCTCGTGGTAGGGGGCGTCCATGAAACCATTAGAACCGAAGTTAATGGGGGGCATAAGCGGAAACCACCAGCAAACATCGTCTGGTACTGTTTCGAACTGCAGATAAACGACTGTTCACAGAAATCCAACCAACCAAGGACGGTTCATCCTTGGAGCTGACGACTGTGCTTAACCTAGGATGATCAGTGGTTACCGCACCAGCGTCTCCGGATGCGTGAAACCAATAGCGAAAGGACAGGCCGGGCACAGATTATTCAACAACCCCCAGAGGCCCATCAATCCTAGTCTCTGACACACACCACACCTCAATACCCAGTGTGTTCAACGTGCGTGCAAGTGCGGCCTTTTAACCTGTCTTGGAGTGTGAACGCTGAAAAAACAGCGTGGTTTTTGGCGATAGGCGTCCAGTGAGTGGTGCAGGAAGATAGCTGTAGAGAGTAAAATGCAGTCGTATCACAGTTGCGGTCAATTAAGCTGGGAATTGTAGTGGGTTAGAAATAAGGGGCGGGAGGAGAGTAAGATAAACGAGTGGAGAAGAAAAAAAAGAGGTGATAACAGTAGTCTATTTTCGATTATCCGCCCTGCTGTATGCGGCAGATAAGGTAAACCTTGTAAAGCTGCGCGACGGCTAATGCTGGATGTGGTTGAAGATCGGGAAAATAATCAGTTGTACGTGAGCTGATGTACCACAACGGCGCCCAAACCTAGGCAAAAGAACGGCGAGGGTCCTCAAACAAAGTCTTTGACTTAATAGCCTGTGCGCAAGGCAACGGATGTAGTAAAGATTCGGTTTTACAGAAATAAACGCTATCCCATTTCCGACCCAGAATCTGAAGGACCAGGAGAGTGAGCTTGTCTGACCTCTAATCATTAATCACACTGGTAGTAGCCATCAAAAAGCCCAGGAACTCAAGGGGTCGACAAGGTACGCAAACCGTCGCATCACGTTAAGGTTCCTTGACAATACGATCTGGAGGCGCACCGGATGTTAAATGCAAAGATACTTCAGTAATACTGCGTTCTCGATGAGGCATTACTAAATGGAACCTACTTTGGACTAATGTTGGAACATGAGAACCAGTAGAGTTTCAACGCTTACGCAAATTTTGCAGAAAAAAGCGGGAGCCACCCTTCGTCTTATCCCATCGTTGGCGAGTTTTATCACTTCAGTAAGTGGATCCGCGTACAATACTAAAAAAATAACACGGTACCTAGACTAGCCGTACAGTTATCGCATTTCCCGTCTTTTTGGCGCTCATCAACAGCGCGAGGAATGCTACTTAATCGTCGGGACTCACAGCCTGCGACAAACCAAATTACCAATTAGCAACTAGTTTGGCTGGAGATGGGCCACACCACCCCCAATCAGTGAAAGTTATGTGGCGCATCTTTCCTAGGAAACGGAAATACGCGAAACGAGTTAGGGAGAACAAAAGTTTAATATCAGCGAAAAAGTAGTATGGGGCGCTGCGTGTTGACACTCTCAAACGTAACTCTTCAACTGATAGAAACAGTTCTCAATAAACAGTCGAGTAAATCTCAAATGGAGCAACTTGTGCGATTGACAGTGTTGTGAAACGTGATAAAGGTGTCTCACCTGCGTGTCATATCCATGGGGCATGCGTTCGATGGCCGAAGCCAAATCGGCTAAGCGTGCTGCCTCATAAACTTCTTCGCGCGTGGCATTCAGATTTCCGTATTGCAAATTGTAGTAGATAGTATTGTGGAATAAAACTGTGTCCTATGGTAGAGTAAGGCAATACGGACGAGAGAATATATCACATCACATGACGAAAAAGTGGGTTGGCGGCCACAGTAAAAAGCAGGTTCCTAATATGGCAGTATAGCTCGTCAACTCGAACCACATGGCTCGTGCTGCGTGTCCTCACCAATGGAACCTCAATCTAAAGCTGGCTTGAACCAGATCAGATGGTTATGTCTGAGATGATGGATTGTGCAGGTAAGAAAGGCTTAGAGATAATAGGTACTTTTTCCAGAGAGGGCCACTATCCTGCAAACGGGTGCATTGAGACGCACTGGTGACTGGGCAAACAACAAAAATGAGAATCGCTAGTGAGGCACATAACGTAAAGGTATAAACATCGGGAACCACAGCATAAGGATGGATAAGCGAAGATGACGATGCAGTTTATCAGGAAAACCAACCGGTAAAAAAATCGGTGGCTAGCCAGTGGCCAACATCAAAGACAGCACGATTTTGGAACATATTAGTTGGTACAGTGCAATTTAGTGTAGGATCTCAAGGAACAACACGAAACACTACTATATGACGTTCAGAGAAAGTGGAACACCGGGCTATATCGTGGTATCAAAGTTGCAGTTTGCATACAAGTGGAGAAATCTATGAGGGCGTACTAAACCGGATACCTCGGAGCTCACCTGTGGTACCACCGAAATCGCGCGCCGCAGACTTTCTAGCGTTACGGAACGCACGTCTTGACCGCCGATGAGAATGCTGCCTTCGTTCACATCGAAGAACCGATAAGCCAGTCGGACAAGCGTAGATTTGCCTGTGCCGCTGCCTCCTACAACGGCCACACGTTGACCGGGATTAACCTGCACCAGCATAAGGAAGGAAGCAGACAATGACGCTGCTGAAGTTAGCCTCAAATGAGCAAGTCTCAGTAAGACCATTGGGCTACAATTTCTCAAGAAGCGGAAAGATGCAGACATACTGACGCGATCTAAGGTGAACATGGCAAGTCCGAATGGATGAAAAGCGGGCACATATAACGAAACAACACCAACGGGAAACACGCGCACACGCCACCGCAATAAACGGCGACGAAATGTGGGGATGACTTCTGTCGGATTGACAGCTGGGATACGATGAGGTGCGGGAGAGTTGAATTTTGCATCGGAAGGAAGCCGGATATTCGGACCAAACTGTTAACTAATAATGAAATTAACGAGAAAGGCTCTGGATGAGTCGCTGCATCAAGAAATGTATCAAATACATCTCACACTGCAGCCGCTTTTAAAGTGCCATGAAAAACATTGGGGAAACAGTTTAGCTGCCAATGGGGAGAAAGTACGAATTTTCACATTGGAAAACCAAAATATTAGACGGTGAAAGCACCATTAGTCCGAAAGTCGAAACCATAGTCTTCGATATTAGTCACGAACGTACATGTTGGGGAAATCTGACAACGAGATAGCTGAGGGTGGATGAGGTATGGTTTTCGTGGATCGGGAGTAATCGTTCAAAGTGAACAAACAGTATAGAAAATACGAAGGGGTGTGGACCAACTGGGTTTATAATTGGCCGCATCAAATATGGTCATCCGCTAACTGGTTGACAATGTTAAGCAAAATAATCCTTGTTTTCTAAGCACAGAGAACATTTGTTCAAAATGACTTGATGCACTGGTAGCTCTGGTCGATCGTTCCTGAGTTCACTTGTTCGCCGAGCTTCGGAGTTGGGATGCAAACGTTTCATCACCAAGCGAGGTGACTTCGTCAGTGCGCTGCTGGGTCCAGTCTAATCCGCTGACTTGTTCGTCGATTTGTGATCGATCAGCAAGTGACTTTTGAACTGGCCTCGATCTGTGCCCCGTGACCTTCACCGGTCCGCCCAACTCTGATAGATACGGGCGATCCGTGGGATGGTTTTGCCCCGGCTGTTGTTGATGGCTCGCTTAGCCGACCACGACGGTTTCTTCTTTTTTTAAGGTGTTTTAGTTCCCTCCGTCTTAACGTTTGGTACACTGGATCAGTCTCTATGTGCCTGTTTATCGAATGCTGCGTCGAGGAACTCTCCTCCTTTCGTGTCTCTCCTTTTGCTAGGACTTCTGTGTTGTAACAATCGAAGTGATGTCTTTCTTCGTCTGTATGTATTGAAATCAGTGAGAGGACGTAATGGTTCTTACAAGCTCTCTTATGCTCTTGTATTCTTGTTGACAGTCGTCTTCCTGTTTGATCCACATAGTTTTTATCACAATCTTGACATCGTATCTTGTAAACAACACTTCGTCTTTCGTGTATTCCGGGTCTAACTTTGGGGTTCGACCGAGTTCTCCTCAATGTGGCAGTGGGTTTGTGGGCCACTTTTGTATTTGGCGATGTGGATGTGGGCCGAGCGACTTGTTTGCAAACTTTCCCTTAGCATATTAGGCGAAATCTCTAGTATGACTTAAGTGGAAGCTACACAAAAGAAGCTGCTTAACTTGACAACAAGGCGTCTGTACGCAAACCGATTAGTTCTGTGGTTGCTAGCAGTTTTCGTGATGAAACAGTTGGAAATGAATAGGATTTCATTTTGGTATTTCACCTTCTGCGAAGTTCGTATGTGCTCACAATATGAACGACCATGGAATCCGGAGTAAATGATGTGAAATAATGGTTCAATTAACAAAGCAACTACCGCGTTCGAAAGCCCTTGTGGATACAAGGTCACAAATTGATCTAATCGAATGATATTCAAACTATTTGAACGCTTACCTTGAAACTCAAATCGTCACAAATGTATTTCCCCATAAGCACGTTGGATTTCCCAGGACCCTTGGAGAGATATGCAAACTTCACGTTTTTGAATTCGATTGATGAGTTCGACCTATCAACGATCAGATCTGAAGCACCAGGAGAAGTCTGATGAAAGAAGCATCGAGAAGAGCGGAAACGAGTGAAAAAAGATAGTGCCGCGGCAATGCGCTGCAGAAATAACTCAAAAACAGTGGCAGGTTAGCTTTCCAGATATTGAATTTCGGTTTGCGGAAGACACTGCTATGCTGACAGCGTTCGGAAGTTGGCTGAGTGGTTCAGGCATGTGATTTGTGACAAACGGGTAACCGAAGTGAACCTATGCAAGACTGTGTGCCGAAGAAAGAAGGTATCAACAGTGCGTCGGCACTAAGCAACGACGCTTCGCTGCCAAGATCAGAGGTGAAGAATTGTTTTCAAACCTGTGGGTACAGTTGATCATATTTATTTAAACGAAACGAATCACCGGCCGGCTAGGTTTGTGAACCACCAGGTAATCCAATCTAGGGCCTTTGCTTTTTGATCCAACGCAAATGGATTCAGCGTCCTCCACTTTCGCTGGCTAAGCCAGCTGCATAGAGTGGGTTAGTTTATTCTGGGAGCATAAAGGCGGTTGTAATAACCGAATGCAGATTGCCTCGGATGTTAGTGAAACAATGCTCTATTACGGGTAAGAAATCAAATGCTTAACAAGTCCCGCAGGATGGCCAGAGTGAGAACCACAAAATGACGAAAAGAAAACACAGTGATAAAAGGAGGAGTGTCTTGGTGAACTCACGGCAATGTTCACACAGAGGCATACTCAAAAGAGCCAACCTCGATTATGTAGGTCAATACTGGTTGGCAACCTTCGTCACACTATAGCATCTATCGATCCACACAGGCTATCTTTCGTAATATAGGTGGGTTAGGGCAACATCAAGTCGTTTTTTAAACACATAAAATAGGAGGCGGAAACAATGTAATTTTTGAGGGCGTTCCATGTCTGGCATACAAAGGCATAAGATTTCGTATCGTAGCGGAAGAACCCTGTACGTTGCAAGAAAGACAGTTTGAGTCTATCTGATGCCGAATATCGACAAGTTGAGCCGAGATGGAGCTGTTAATAGTCCACTACCACCTTGACACAATCAATGTGAGTGGCGCTCATTGACGCGCTTTTACAGATGCCGCACTGTTCGACCAGCATACGTTGCGTCACAGCGTACTCACATCAATAAATAACCATAGAAGCGGTCGGAGTGTCGTTTTTCCGTACAGATGAGCGATCCTATGGAGAACATGCATTTCAGAATCACCGGCTGGGAAGCAGAACTAACTGCAGATGACAGACTCCTAGCTAAACGTCCTGCGGCGGTGACTTTTTGAAAAAGTTTTATGAGTACTTCTTCCTCCTAATTCTTAGCACCGTTATCGGGTTCAGTTCCTAGAAATAAATCTGTCAGGGTACCGATTTTCGCGTAACAGATTGAATGAACACAAACTCATCGTCCAACGTGTCCTCAAATCAGACTCTGCGTGCTCTCGATGTAAGCGAATCAAGTTTCGATTATATCGCAGAGAAATGAAATTGTGGAATTTCGTATATTGTCTACTCTACGTATTTTTCTTGCCACCCGGCCCCCAACTGTCGCGTGCGTACTAGGAATATTCAGAAGTCCCATGCATCTATACAAGATCAAATTGACGACCTTCGGATTACAAGTGGTCTAAAACACTCGTCTATTGGCCTACTCAGCCAGCATGAGTGGCCAGGTTCCGGCATAATGCTGACACATGTTTGCCCCTTTTCGACAATACCGGTAGTGTCTATACGGAATGGAGTGCAACGTCAAGAGAACACCGACGTTGGTTGGTACACACATGCGGTTGTGACGCGTTAGGTGCCAAGTAGAGGAAATTTACGCACACCAAAAACAGTACACTTTACGAACTATACTAGTTGTAGCTGAAGTCCGAATGTTGACAAAATGTGAATAAAGCGCCGCGGCAATGCGCCCGTCCAGCAAAAAGGGGCTTCGCCTAAAACATAGTACGCTTGGGGGGGGGGAGTTGTAACGTCTAACTAGAAAGTCTCGACGTTAATTTAATCCGTTTTGGCCCGATTACCGAAGTGGTGCGGATCCAGTTGCCTTGTTAAATAAGAAATAGTGAGGTAAATAGCCAAATCAGCAGGATAACTAAACATTGTCGGAGAAGTCATCGCCGTTGGATGGAAGAGTCCATAGCAAAAGAATGTGGACGTTGTTGTCGTACAATGCCAACCAGAAGGACTTGTTTGAAAAGATCGCACATATCAACTTGACTATCGCTACACCATTTTTTAAATGGAGCAGCCTGCTGAAATTTGTGATGTACGGGAAGCATCTCCACAAGTCGAGGATATCCCAGATGACAGTAGCTAAAAACGTACGATAGTGGGGTTGCCAAGAGTCAATGGATAACATGAACTTCTGACTTGAGAGATGCCAGTGTGTTACAACGGTTGATTCATTGACGACGTAGATGATGAGTAAGGATCAGAGCACACAAGTGAAAAAAGCAAATATGTTCGGGTCAGAAAACCAAAGTATACCTGCACTTTTGGTTGCAGCTCCATTAGGGAAAACATGGTGGACATGTCCACCAGCGACTGACGCACTTCGCGGTACATCGTACCGAGGAAATTCAGAGGCACTGATAGCTGGAAGAGGAGGCCGTTAACAAGCACCAAATCCCCAACAGTGAGTGTTTTCGCTAAATACTCCACTCCAGTTTCCATGTTTGCGACAGCTCCAGGTTCAACTGGGAGACCGACGGCAACTTGGTTTGCCACAGCAATCATTGCCGCTGCCAATCCAGCGGAAAAGATTGCAGCCTGTCCGAAATTGAGCACAGCCAAGCTAGTAGTTGTTTTGATGCTGCCCTGTTCGTACTCAGCTTGCAAACGATCGTAAACGTTTGTCTCGTGTTCCTCGTTGTTAAAATACTGAATGAAGGAGAAACAAACGCGTAACCAGATATCAAGACGAGTGAAGCTACGTTTTGTGGATAGCGAGATGTTCTGAACTGACAGTAACAAGACAAATAACACAGACGACGGAATATAAATTGGTTGAGTGTATTGATCAGTTTAGTTCAGTTGATCAACTATGATCCGAGCACCAAAGTGCGGTGGATCCAGTTGCCATGACTCACATCGCAAGAATAACAATAAATAACAACGGCAAGATAGTGGGACTAAAGGCAAATAGAATGTAAAGAAAATGGAAGCAAGAAATGCGTCAAACTAAGCAGAATGGAAAGAAAATCAACAACTTAGTGCAGGAACGTCACTGACTGCACCATTTCTGATACGATCTCTAACCATTGGTGCGGACCATCCCGAGGACCCCATTCCCAAAAACGGCCCGCATCCACCTGACCAAATCTCTCAGTCAATTTCTTCATACCACTATGCCCCATCATTGACTGGCCACCTTGCGGTTTCACCTAACTTGGTGCAGTCACAGTGTATAATACGCACAGAGAAAGCCAAACAACAGGCATACGGAGGACATGGCCTAACCGACGTAAGCGACTAAGATTTGGAAATCTCGAAAGAGGCACAAGAAGGCTTTTTGCCAAAAATCAATTGGCGGACCTTAGCATTGCACACTCGATATCGCCACCAGACGTGAGTAATACTCCGCAAGCACCGGTGGTCAAACACGGCCAAGCATTTAATGTCTTTGCAGCGAACTAGCCAGGTCTATGATCCATACAGTAAGACTGCCCTTACCGCAGCGTTATACATCCCACTTATCACTGAGAGGCTGATATCCCGTCGTCTCCATAGATGGTTGAGCCTCTGGAAAGCCACACAAACCTAGTTGATACGCGAAGTAACTTCCTCAGTGATGTGACCGCCAGAGGTGACACAGCTACAAAGGTAAGTGAATTGATTCGCCACTTCCAGTGGCTGTTCGGTGATAGCTAGAACCGGTATGTCGGTCGAATCTTGCAGCAGTACTTTGCACTTTGAAGGTGCAAAGCACATGCCGAAGCGCGCGGCGCTATGCGTCATTCTATCCAGCGATGTTTACATAGCCAATGCGTCGGACCCAAGAAGATCTATGTCATCTACATACTCGTTTGTCAGTCGATCACTTGGTAGAACTGCCACTCCAGTAGAGTCTGAAAGAACGGAGTCACTCATGATCATTTCGACAACAAATTTGAAGACGGAAGGAGATATAGGACAACCCTGACTAACCCCACTTGTTGTGGACAACTCAGGGGACAGTTTCCTATAGACCCTTACACCGCCTTGAGAATCACAGTAGAGGGACTTAAGAATAGAAAGGAATTTAGCCAGCATTCCTTTCATGGATAGGCAGTGCCACAAGCTAGCGCGGTCAACAGAGCCGAAGGCAACTTTCATGTCGAGGAGAACAACCATTGTCGATCGTCTGTATGTGTCTCCGCTCTAAAAGTAAAGTAAATATGTGGTCGATACAACCATGACCAGGGCTTTCAGTGATCCGGTTCTCGCGGGGACCAGTAAATTGTCACAGAATGATACCCACGAGGAGTGTGGAGACAATAGAGACAAGGCTGATGCCTCGATGATTTTCGCCCAAAGTATGCTGATCGGCAAGACAGTTGATAATCGCCATTCTGAAGGAACCACTTCATTGTATCAACTCGTAATAAATAGAGAAGCGAGTCCAGTCAACAAAGGGTCACCACCATCTTTCAGCAAAGATGGTGGATGGTCATCGGGTCCAAGGGCCTTGTTTCGTTTCAACACGTAAAGCTCATGTCGAAACTCTTCCAAAGTAGGAGGCGTCACATCTGCTTCCCACGACAGCTCAGTCGATTTGGTAAGCGGCAATATCGCAGGTCTGCTGAACTGCTCTTCAAAATGTTCCGCCCAACAGGCTAGTCAACGATGCTAAAAATGGATCAACTGCCCGTCTTTCTCAGCTATTGTCTCGCTAACGGATGGCTTTCTCGGACCCGTGTTCCGAATGAGCTGGAATAGCACTCGGCTGTTCCTAATAGCATTAGCTTTCTTCATCTCACGGGCCTTAGTCATCCACCAACATTCCTGGTCGATTCGAAGAATCCTTGCGATGCGTCGTTTGATAGAGTAAAACTCGGTGCCCATTGGAACTTTTTCCGTGCTTTGATCAAGCTGATCGATGCCTCAGAGATCTATTCGCAATTACGACGTCTCAAGTTGAGTGCACAGCATGCCTAAAGAGCCTTCTTCACAGCACACTTGAGATGACCCCAGTCAGCGTTCGCCTCACAAACCTCATTCACTACTGACAAATGGTGGGCAAGGTCGTCGTGATATTGTTGTATTGCAGATTGCGAGTTCAAGTTACAGGTAAGAAGGTTAGAAGATAGGCGCTTCTTTAAAACAGGAAGAGTAAGCGTCAGGCGTGCGCGCAATAGAGAATGGTCGGAATCCGGGCATATGCTCCAAATTGACCGACAGTCTTGGACTGATGTGCGCCATCTGTAGCTGATGGCAACGTGGTCAAGCTGGGTCCAGGTCATTGAGGGATTCGGTGGGGACCAGGTGACGCGGTGTGAACGTTTGTGCTGGAATGCAGTGCTGCTAAGGTAAAGGCTGTGGTCGGCGCACAGTTGCAGGATTCAACCACCATTATTTGTTTGCCGTGCATCGACTCCGAAGCGACCGCCCAGGTATGCAGTACGAAAAACGACCCACTTGGGCATTCATGTCACCAGCAACAATCACGATGTCAGTATTCTTCACCCTGTGAAGGAGAGATGAGAGACGAGATTTCGACAGGAATCATCTTTGATACCCTCTGAACTGCATTCGGTAGGGGCATAAACTGAAGCGATGAAGAAGCACCTTGGCTTCAAACGCCGCTTATTAGCTCCATTAGTAGTAGTAGCTGGCTAGCCGAACAACCTCCACGTGGTGTCAGCTGGGTGGTTCGGGTTAATCCCGTTCCAGCGAATAGTTCGGCGGCAGTGTTCCAGGACGTGGTGGGTTTTCGCCTGGCAAGTGTTCTCCCTATAAAAAGCCACAAAGATCCGTTTAACAACACTGCGACGTGGCGAGTGTGACTCGCCACTAAATAAAGTCACTGTCCCTTTCCCTTCCGGAGGATCCTCACTTCACAAACGTCAGCCAATTCGAAGAGTTCCATTGATTCCTTCATGGGATGGCGAACACAGCAAACAAACTCACGCATTCAGTCACACTTCACAATTTCACTCACAATGCTCACTAACACACACGTACATACATACAGACACATAAATCCAGTATGTTACTGGTCAACGTGCCATAGTTTGCACAATTACTGACCATGATCAAGTCACAGACTACAAATTTCCACACTATGCTAACATCCACATGGACGCAAACACTTGCCACTTCACCTTTGATGTTTTCCTCACATGTACTTTCCCCATTTATGCATGAGGCACAATGTGCCTACTGCGAAACATTGTCTGTAAAACTTTGATCATGCCTGATAAGACGTGCCTCGTTGCTATCGAGAATAAACTATTTATTTATTTAAGTCGAGCCGCACACATGCGGCTGTTAACGGGTATCCAGTCAAACAGATTGCCTTCATCATGTTTGCTGAGGGCAATACCAACACCGTAAATACCGTGAGTAATTGACTCGGTATCGCCAGAGACGCGAAGAGTGTAGCAATCGTCGTCAGATTCAGAACCAGGAAGTCGAAGACTCGTCACAACGCTGTTATCTTGTATGCGTGTTTCGTAGACACAGCAAACATCAATAGCAAGAGAGTGGAAAGTGGGAATCAGTGCTGTCAGTTGGTCATTTTGACATAATGTGCGGACGTCAAAAGAACCAAGGTAAAGTGAAACTCTAGGTTTGGTGGAAGAGCTACATGCATCGATGGCGGCAGCTGCGAGGTTAGTGACAGTCTCTTGCCCAATGGATGGGGAAGAGGAAGGGGGAGGGAAGGGAAAATAACAATAAGAAGGAAGGGGAGTATTTCGACGTGGTCGGGTGGAAGATTTACAGAACTGGACTGCAAAAGGACTACGGGTAAACCCAGATGCCCCGGATAAACACAAGAAACACTGCTTTGAGTATTATGTACGCAAGAGCATGCTAGTGAACACAGAAAGAGTAAACTGTAATGTCGAAAGGGAATTTAAAACAAGAACGATTCCTCAAAACGGCAGAACAAAACTGGGACAAAGTGAAACCTCAGTTAAAGTCAGCCAACAATAGACAATCTTCACACAGGAGAACGTCTCCCAACTATCAGACTGGGATCTCAAGGACGATAAACAAGTTTGGATGGGTATATCTGTTGATATGTCGAAGAGCTGACCTCAGTGGCGTTTGTGTTATAAGGCTCTGTCCTTTCCCCTCCTTTTTAGCTTTCCCTCTGACCACAAACCCAATCCCGATGCATAATATTATAGTATGTTTTTTGGTTTTGTATTTTATAATTTTATGCACCTCTTCTCTTCGCATATCCTTTTGTATTGCGGTACAATGGCTGATATTCCTCATCTCTAGCTAACGTGTAGTACCACGATTATGCGGATGAATCAAGAGAGCACCCCACTATTAAATCACTCTCGTCAGTATTGATTTCGCATACAATGCCCTGTGACTGAACGGATGCAATCACATAACCTAGATTTTCGGGCAATCGTAGCGAGTCTACATATACTAAAGGACCCTCAGTAGATAAGGCTGGCTGGAGCAAATTGCAGACATGTACAAAATGCGTACTGTGCTTCAGTAAAATAAAATAAAAATTCTAGCTGTAGTTGCAAATAAAGTGGATAATAGAGTGAATTCCAACCACTAGTAAACCACGTTTTGCTTGTCATACTGGAATTGATTTTGGAAAGCCGGTGACAGAATTAGTTGAGTGCGTATTAGAATCTGACTCGGATGAACGTTCCACCTAGGTCCTGAACGGCTCCAAATAGAGAAACCGATATGACGTCAATAAGCCAGTGATACTAAAATTCGCAATAAGGCATATGTGAAGTCGATCCGAAGCGTTATGGACCACAAAAATGCCTTTTAATCTGAGGATGCGGGTTCAAGCCTGCGTATGAACCGTGCGACCCTCACATTATCTTTAGCCCACGTGCGACCGATGGTGGCTGCACGGCAGCGAAGCCTTGATACTGCATACGGGCATTTTGTTAATGCCTCATAATTGAAACGGAAAAGTAATAACGCAAGCACCGATGATCAAACACGGCTAATCGTTCAATATCCACTGCGAACTGTCCAAGTTTCTGATCCACAGCGTTATACACCCACCTTTCATTGACAGGCTGATATTCCTGAAATGCTATACGGGTCTTGCTGATACGCAAAGTAACTTTTCAGTGATGTGAGCAGAGGTGATATAGCTACCAAGGTAACTGAACCGATTTATCAAATCCAGTGGTTGTTCTCTGATAGCTAAAAGTGGTGATCTATCGGTCCAGTCCTACAACAATACCTTGCACTATGAAGGTGCAAAGCACATGTTGAAGCGTGCAGCTATACGCGTCAGTATATACAATAGTTCCTGATGAACGTATGAACGGACTACATTTAAAATGGCACTCAAGACCCCATTACTGATTAGTAATCAAAATCCGTCCGTTTGATTCTAAGTGCTGTGTTGTACACATTCACTATGCGGAAAGTTGTAGCTCTGCGGCCAACCACTGTCCTCTGCACAGTTCATAATTGGCTTGGCAGTAGAGGATGAACCGCACTATATCGTAATCAACTGTCAGGCATGCAGGCCCATGGCTTAACGGCACAAACTGCTGGCATCCGGAAGTCTTGGGGTCGGAACCCGGCAGTGGTTCGAGAAACGCGACGAATTGCATCCGAAAGTGTAAGGAAGTGCTCGTGAAGCATTAAAGGAAGTATGCTATCAAATATATATCGCAGCAATGAAAATCGCGCAAATGGCTTCCGCTCGGCAGCAGACTAAAAAACGAAAATGGAATGTGAGAAGGTAAGTACTTGCACAAAAGATATCAAAATTCAACCCGAAGCCAAGGCTTGCAGCAAGGAGAGGAACCCAATAATCCAAAACACAGTGGCTCCAAATAAGAATGTCAGTTCGTGAATTCCCTTCAATCAAGTGTATGCCACCAGTAAGGGATTCAAAAACAAAGTCAAACGAAATCGGTTGGTGGCAGGGCGATGGTCGACTGATGCATTTCACTTAGCCACGATAGGTTTAGTGTAACTATCAAGTCTTTTTAACACACCGCCGGGCGCTCTTGACCGATAAAAATGACTTTAAGGCGGTTCACTCGGAGGCTCAGTCCCAATAAAGGTTTACAATAATTTAACTTGATGCTTCCTCCGTCCCATCTCACGACATTCGGCGCTAAACAAGACGGCGGGGCCTTCAAACTTGACTGTGCTCCGCGATTCCTTTCTGTGGAATTTCTAACACACACTAGGCGTCATACCAACCATCATTTTTCACCTCGTTTTATCTAGCTACAAGTGTTATCATGCTGATCTAAACGCGCGATATTTTGAAATCGTTATGTGTTTCCGCGCTCACCAGCGGCGCCTTTTCCAACGTCCACGTTATAAAGAATAAACTGAAACAGATTTACAAGAAGCACAATAATTGTACAAAGAAACACCGTGCTAGATGGAAGGTTGCTCTTCGCAAGAAAAGGAATCACGAGCATGCATATCATACCTTAAAAAGCTGTTCACTTTTGGAGAAAATGGATGAATATTCGTAGCTAGCCATCATATTGCTACAGGAAACCTGGTTTCCCGAAAAGGTGAATGACGCACTTGAATAAGTAGAAAGGTTCAAGTATCATCGGGACGACCGCCCTTGCACCACCCGTAACCGTGGCAGTGGAGTCATCATCTACACCAACGCTTCCTGGTGCGTAACGACGAACGTTTTGTTTTGCTTCTCTTGTCTGCGTATTAGTTGCTTAGTTCTGAGGTGCAAGCCGAGATGTATCAGTGGGTACCGCTCAATCTTACTGGCTAACATCTGTGTTTCCCCCAACTGTCCGAAACCTGAAGCAGAGATATTTTAAAACGAGTTTTCTGCGACTGTAATAGTACACATCGATTGTTCATTATGTAAATTTTCTGGTGATTAACCGAGTTGGCACCGCTTTTCTCACAAGTCTTGGGCTACAAAACATCGTAAATTGCCTCACTAGATCCGATGCAACCCTTGAGCTAGTATTTTAACGATATGAAGCCGTTCTCCGTATATGACCGGGCGCCATTAGGTAGCTCTGATCACTGAACAATTAAACTGCCCTGCGATCTGCTCTGACAAACCGCAATTTCAGGTGGAGACAGTGTTCCGCACAGAATATTGACCGACCGCGAGAAATGGTATCGCCCACCGACTTTTTTGACACCGATGTATCCACGCACTGCTATCAATTGACAAGTTACTACAACTTTTGTTTTGACATTTGCTGTTCTTGCTGTTCATCCGTGCGGACAGGTTCTCTTTCCCTCACCTAAAGTGGCTACGTAAACAAAAAGAAAAAGCTTTCAGAGGAAAAGACATTTTAAAGCTGAATTTAGGGAGCACGCGGTGTGATTGGGTTGCGACTCGCAAACTCTGTTGAGACCTCGGATCACTTTGAGGTAAACCTCGGTCATTCCGATCTCGAGGACGGTATCATGAAAGGATATATTTGGGTGTTGCCCTTCCCAACAACATTTTAGTAGTCACTATCTGTTCTTACAAAGCAGGAGTTGAGCCGTCTCAACAACGTGTAAGTCCAGGTTATACTTAGGAATAGTGGCTGTCGTGAACTCTTAGGGGTGTTAAAACTACTAAGCGGAAGTACTCGACGTAAATCAACCTTTGAGGTAGAGATGGAGAAACTGAACCATGACTTCTGCAACTGCTATAACAATCCGATCTATGAAATATCCCTTACCCGGCCTAAATTGTCTGTACACTTGCTGTCCCCGGTCGACATCGGCACCGTACAAAAATTACTGAAACTTCGGGAGAGCAAGTGGTCCAGACAGTCTGTCTCCTGTTGTCCTCAAAGAATGTGCTGACTCCCTGCCCAAACCTCTGGTTACTTTATACACATTATGCATTCAACAGCAGAAAATTGACGATTGATGGAGAGGTGTCAACATCATACCGATATCAAAAAGGGTTCGAGCAAATACCGACCTATTGCTTGTGCTTCGGTAGCCTTCAAGGTGTTCGATAAAGTCATTCTTGAGAAGATGCTGACACAACAGAAATCAAATGACTGCCTTCAATTTGCCTACCGCAGTTCGAGGCGCAGTAGCCTGACTTGTACACTCAGTTCGGTCATCCTTAGAGAGTAGGATCAAGTTCAGCCGAGTCTGTTTCTGGAGTACAGCAACGCATTCGGCTGCATAAACCGCGTATCGCTGTGTAAATATCTACTTGGTACTTGGAATATATCCTTCCATCGTCCACTTTTGAGGGCCTATTTTACCGGTCGTATTCAGGTTAACCGATTTGTGGGCAGAAGCTCCTCGCCCTTAATCACAAACACTGGAGTTCTTTAGGGAGCTATTCTGTCACCGCTTCTATTTTCCAAATATGCAAGCTCAATACCGGTCCCACTGAAATACGCCGATGACATTGTCCTGCGCGTCAATTAATCGACGACTGCCCCTTCAATCAGATTGTAAGATATTCCTAACATTCTGATCTCGTGGTTAAAGGGCCGCAAGCTGCCGCTCAACGTGTCAAAATGTAATGCTGTCATTTTTTACAGGACAGGGGAGATCGATAACAAAAGCTACCCCAGCAATGCACGGAACTCAACATCGGTGGCCAGTGGTTGCACTCTTCCACATCGGTAAAGTATTTGGGTGTTATGCCGAGTTACGCGTTGTCTGGGTCACATCATATAAAAGAAATGTTCACAAAAGTTCAGAAGTTATCGTTCTACGTCTCATGTCTGCGAGCCTCCTCTGTCCCCCATGATTTGATACTTCGCTTTGTCAATGTTCCGGTTCTTCCACACTGGAAGTATTGCTCACCAGTAATTTTTCCTGGTCTATTGGGTAATGGACTTTAGATTAATCTGTAGGTCATTAAAACACTTGTCGTGATGCAGTGATGCGTTGAAGCTGACGTTCGTTGTTATACCTGTACCCACTCATGTTGCTAATTGCAGGAGACTGGCATCTACAGTACTTGCCGAACACAAGTCACCCCTTCCATTGTGTATTGTTTGAATGTGTGTCAACCTCGTCAACCAGACAGAAGTAGGAATCCATGCATTCCCGTACAAGAGCGTATTGTTCGTCAATTATCCCCTAGCTAGCGCGATTTTTGCTAGACCTAAACAAAGTCGTCCAAAAGTTAACAAACCGGTTTATGCTATGACGATCCACTTTTCTGAATTTCATGCTGTATCGCTGAAAGTGTGTGTGTTACAGTTGAATATTCACCCAATCTGGGTATATAAAGGATTTACTTTACTTAAAAAATACAGTTGAAAAGCACATTCAACGCATACCATGCACACATTACAGCAAAAAGTGAGTTGCACATATAGATATTTGTCTGAGTGTTTCGAATGTGGTGTGGTGTTTCATAGACAAACAGAGTTCCGTCCAGATGGAATGCACACTTGTAACTAAGTTATGCAACAGAAGTGTACCAAGCAGTGTGAGTATAATCTAACCACTCTGATGTGACAATACGCTTACCTTAACTGTCTCGTAGTTGATGAGTGAGTCGGTCGCGTGACTCCCAGCGCGACCATCAGCGCGATTCATGGAGACGCGGAATTGAGTACGCCACCGAGTAATCGCAAAAGTGAAGGCTGTGTACGCGCCAATACATGTGAGGGCGATCAGACTGGTGGGGAGACCATATTTATAATACTGAAACGGGAATAGCGGGATAATGCGATCAAGTCATAAATATCCACACTTACGTTACATGTAGACGTAAGTGTGGATCAGATTAAGTAAAAAGTGGTGAACAGGAATGTTCACATTATACCCAGTTGAATTAGTACAACTTCGTTTTATACCTAAGTAAGATTAGCAGAATGCCTGAATGGTGCGTGGGTGGCGGTTGGCAAATTCGACCAGCTAATGAGAAGCGACCCAGCGAACAATTTCGTCCACTCACCGATCATGCACAAGCGAATTATGACGCAGCTTAGAGAAAACGTTGTGCGAAGCAATGCCACGATGCATTCGAAGAATTAGTCCGACTTTGGATATAGCCTCAATTTGAACTGGGGTATAATTAGAGCAACCTCCCATTAGTTCGATCTTTGGGACCATATCGGAAGTAACGAAACATAACGTTCGTCAGTAACGCGATGAAGTGCTAGAGAAATTGAACAGATTTCACACATTACGATACAACTCAGTGGAGGCTTCGCGGGTGCTTGGCTCTTTCTCTCAGAATGCTTATGATGTTATAAATCGATTGGCTCTATAAGTTTGAGAGACCGTTATTCTTGGATCCTACCAGCCTTCTGCATGGTAGTAACGTGCACGCAAGTGGAAAGTGAGCAAGACTATATTACATCCACTAACTTGGTCAAGTCCGCTGATGTCGCCCAATCGGCATTAGCCACAGACTTATAAAAGCAGGGTCGAGGGTTTTAGCCCCGCAAGAATTAGATAAAATGCGCACTGCCTATGATTCACGGAAGAATGAAATGTCTGTCTACTGACTTCCCCAAGATGGGATCGTCATTTAATTGCGACCGGTTGTAAGAAACGCAACTTAAAACACCTGCGGATGCGACCCATGGTTTAGTGACATAAGTCGCTGGCTCACAAAAGTAAAGTCGTGGGTTCGAATCCGGCAGGATTCGGAGAGGGCGCGCTACTGACGAATCCAAATAGGACGAAACAACCGTCTGGCGCTTTCCTGAATGTGTGGTAGCTGTCCGTTTGAGTCTAACTGCGAAGAATCTGCAGGAAAAATTCACAATAAAATCAAATTAGTGAGGTGGTGCCTGACACGTTTAGGGTCTATTGGTTGCTTTATATGCTTCATCGGGTGTTTTGGCAATATCAGACATCATGGCTTCTGGCCGGAATCCTGGAGCTCTTTTGAATCGAGAAAGGCTGATGAGTTTTAAAGGATCGAAGAGACTGCGGCGTATTTCCGTATACTTATGGCTCGCTCTAGCTGTGACAAAAATAGCCACAGTGCTTTTGATTAAGATGACCGTACACGTACAATGGTGAGGGTTCTGCCCCGAAATCTCCGTATGCTCTAAAACACCAATACCAAAAGATCTGAAGTCTAGGAGAAGCTGTCTCATGAGTTAACCACAAGTGGAGCACTCCAGGATCGCGGCAACCCTCCACTCTTCGACCAGATGTGTGGTTCCACTTGCGCATAACGTCATATGATTTGGATTGAGCTTCGTGCCTACCAAGCACACGATGCTGTTGCGCGACCGGGTTGACACATCACCGGTTCTAGTTGTGACTATTCATCGGAACTGATCGACATGTTCATCACCGAGGTTTCTGCATCACTGCTTGTGGGCAAATCAGCAGAAGACTACTTGCAGGCGTCGGTAACCAGACAGAGTGTGAAAATGCTCGAGTTATTTGGTAGCATCGCGTTAATGTCTGTCCGTGGCCTTAAGGATCACAAACCTGCCTTGTAACCCTCAGGTTGCGGGTTCGAACCTGCGTAGGGGACCTGGCGAACCTTGCAGTACTCTTATCCCAATAACGACTGGTGGTGGGTGCGCCCGTACTGAATACCGGCGTACTGCTGATACTTTTTTTTATCGAGAAACTGGTAGTGTTTGATCGCTGAGGCCGGATGTATATGACTGATATTTGGTTAGAGTACCAAATGAGAAATAATGAATTACATCACTTAATGTCTGGCAACAACTCCTTGTGGTCACAGTAAGAGCCCACATTTCATTAGAGCTTATAGGCGGATTCGGATATCAAGATAGTGAGCTTAATAGGACAAAAATGCATCCAACTGGAGGAAACTCCGAAGTGGCCAGTGACGAAGAGCCCGGTGGCTATTTTCACGAATGCTGCCCTGTCTCAAGTAGCGCGGAACCTCTAGGTGGTCAGCCGATGATGTGACACAGCGGTATGGGCAATTGACGGCGACACTTGGTCAATCTGGTGCGTGCTATCTCCATGGATAACAGCCTCGGGATGGTGCACATCAATGGTTGGAAGCACTTTCGGACGTGGCGCGGTGAAGCAACCAGTAGCGCTCCTTCATTCGGTTTCTTGCATCTAGTTGTCAATATTCATTCCATCCTGGTGAGCTTTATGCACTTCTTTCTCAATGCAATTTGCACTCTTTTTGTGTTCTATCTCATTTTCGTACCATCGTTCTCCTGATGGCGCCTATCGTAGCAACCGAATCTAACGCACTTCGGCGCCCGCATCACATTGTTTAACTGAACTGAAAAGGAAAAGTATCCGCAACACATTAGTATTTCGTAATGATGGTTCACAATCGTGCGACCATAAGCGATCTTACACGGAGTAAAATATTGCCAACGCGCAAAACTCGGTGCATGAGCAAAAAATGTAACTTGGGACGCAAAAGTATGGACCAGACAACAAACCACTACACTAGAGATTCTCTTCGCTCTACTCATTAATATAATGAAAGGAGACAATGGCACCAGCTGTACATTGGCAATTCGTACCGACGCTTCGCTGCCAAGCGACCACCACCAATTGCGTGTGAACCATGAATAATTTGAGTATCACCGAATCTGCGTGGGTTCGAGTGATCTTGTGGCACTATGCCAACTGTACTATTGACCGTGTTGAATATTCGGATAATCTGTGGATTGCGATGACAGACGCTTGAACGGCTCAGTCAACGGATGACAAATGCAACGCAAGAATTTGGGTACGAAAGTATAGAATAAGTGACCAGAGACTTTATGGTACAAGAGAAGACGAAATGATGCCAAGAGTGGATGCCTGGCATGTGCAGCATGGGACACTCGGGGCTAATAAGTTGAAGTGGATAGGTAACCTGAAGCTGTTAAATTATCAAAAGGTTTGTAAAAGGGGAAGTAAATATAATTCAAAAGCGATCGTTAGTTTCAAGGGAACAACCGCACCCAAGAACTAAAAGAGAGAAAGAAGTAAAAGAGAAATACATGACAGAGGAAGTTTCCCCAATGCTTAAACTCACCAAAATGCCAGTGACAAGCATAACTTCCAGTCCAGTTGGTAACAGGTTGAACACGAAGGCGGTTAAGATAAACTGAATGCCCCGAGCGCCACGATCGATAGCTTTTCCAAGTGCTCCAGTTCTGCGGCCCAGATGGTACGACAAATCAAGATCGTGCATGTGACGGAACACCTGGACTCCGACCTGGCGTATGGAGGACTGGGCAGCCTTGGCGAAGACTGCCGAGCGTAGTTCGTTCAACCCGGAAGCTGTTGCGCGAAACAATCCGTCTGGAAGATAGATTGAAAGGGGACACGGATGGAAATATGTAAAAATGCAATCACTCATGTGAAGACGACGCTGGGTATAAGCAGTCTGTATGCTCATATGCGACATATAAATGTCGAATGAGAGAGAACTAAAGAAACAGCTGTTCGGTGAAATTATCTACTGTCTGATCAAGATATCTAACTGTAAGAAAACGCCGCACGGTCGGTTGTAGCGAGTAGCGGAATACTACTAATAAGTCGGTAAATTGCAACATAGTAGTACATCGATGAGATGAAATGCCTGTGATGTGTAATTAATAGGCTACAACAACCAAGATGACAAAAAGACAGAGAAAATGAAAAACAGCACCACAAACGGCGAATTGCACCGCTGAGAAGAAATAGTAAACGGCCCATATGGAACTATTATTCGGACGCGCCCTAATAAAGGCAGATAAGAGAGAACGAACTGGAAAAGGGTGGAACGTGGAAAATCGCCGACTTCGCAGCACTCACTGAGTCAGAATGAGCACGCACTTAAGTGCGTTTTGTTCCAAACGGTTTAAAATATAAAGGTGAGAAGAGATTCAGTCAGCGCCATGAGATAACGAGCGCAGCGGTCAACAATGTCTCCACATTATTCACACACGTGGTGTTGGTGCCTGTGAAGTACTGTTACCATCATAGACCACCGGCGTAGTTATTCCTTCAAGATGAAGACGAGTATAGACAAATGAAATAAGAATTCGTTGCTGACTTCAGCCACAAAGTGTGAAAGAAAGCAGTTAGCCCAAAACTAATGAATGATTATCGTCCCTCATCAAAGACAGAGAGGGTAGTCACCGTTACAAGTTTTGCGTCGCTTCAGCACGGTCACTTTACATGGAATCTGGTCGGCGACGGAGGGTAGGGATACCGGCAACAATGAGGAAGTAAAATTTCAGTCGACGGAATCAGCGATTGGTCCACTTACTTACGCATTTTGTAAAACCATGTTCCCGACAGGAGAGGACCTCGCCACCAAAAAACTGCTGAGCAGGGATCGCTGCATGATCTTGCGCACCCAGTTTTAAGACGTCTAACACATAGTCACGCTAATCAAGTCCATCGGGTGATTCATTACTGGACGTAATGTGCATCTCTCCACTGTGACAATGTCAGTACAGTGAGCTAAAGACCCAGTAAAAGTGATTCTATCTCCTTGGTTAACTTCCAAGCAGCACACACCGGGCAGAGTTCATTAAAAATGATTTAAACAGTTCCTAGCCAGAGCGCGAGGGGTACGTACAAAATAGGATCCGAGGGCACAAGACCACACGAACTTACAGCACAGTAAGACGGTGGAAGCAGCAGTGGCAGGGTGTATATCTCGGAGCAGTGAAGGTACGTCCCCAGATAGGCAATCCACGGCAATCTTGAAAACAAATGGCACCAGGACGTTGACAATTTTGGCAGATACCAACAAGGCGAACGCAGTCACGACACGCAGGCGAATTCCTGGGCGGTCTGCGGGCCATACGTACCCGAGAAGTCGAATGATGATGGACCAGTCTGACAAGGGCTGAAGTACAGTAGAAAAAAAACAAGGCTCATAGATAGTCAATAATGTTTCATGCAACTGGAGATCCAAAGTTCACAAGATAGCAATGAAAAAAAGGACAATGCGCGTATAAGAAGGCTAATGAGTAGTAGTGCAAGAGAAACATTTAAATATAACAGCTTATCTGAGGAGCTAGAGACCTTTTTAGATGAATCAGGCAGACTCATAGTGTTGTTGTCCGTGGACGGGTTGTGTTGCTGCCTTCGAAGAAGTAAAACGGGTCCTGAAATCCGCGAAACGCCAGAACTCCATCTTTCATAATTCGCAGATCCGTTCCAAGTGAGAAATTTGTGTTCTTGGCAAACGAACAACAAACTAGAGTGGTAATGCTTCGTTTTCGTGCCAAATCGAGATCCGAACAGTGCAACCCAGGAGCAACTCTGCCGCGCCTGGAGTACAGTCTGTGTTCCGATGAGAATGGCAGACCGAAGCATTCTGCGCGTGAATGAATAAATCAACTGATAACTATCACATGGCTCTCCTCAAAATCGTAGCCTTTGGAGAATCATCTTTCAAATAACAAGAAAGATGAGGCTGAAACTGAGGAACGGAAAGTAACTGTGTAATGGTATGGACATAAAATACAAAATTATTCTAGAGACGAAAAATCCAGTTGTGTATACGAATAGGCAAGTATACAATAAGCCACTTAAGACAAAAAAATATGACCAGATGCGGGAACAAGTGCACTAGTGTTTGTGAAGGAACGTCAAGTATACTCACATTAAGTGGCTCCAGTGTGCCAACCATAGAGATACACGGAAGAAAATAACCTGCCCCAGTGCGTTAAAAATTGGTCTCATGACGACCGAGTTAAAAACATTTCTGTGGCAAACAAGGTTAATTTTCTTGAACGCTTCGTGCAATGATGTGAGAAAATAATTGTCTTCACTTCACTTCAGATCAAACGATAATGCTGAAAATTTCGCAGAATGCGAAATATGACAAATAAGCTAAGAGAAAAAATAGTATGTGACCTCAAATCTGTAGGATAAACATAACAGTTAATGTGACTAAGTTCTTACATGTTGACTAATACAATACATGCATCCCAAAAAAAACTTAGGAACGTTTATCCTAACTCATTTTCTCCATTTTGATTGCTTTCTACCTCAGTTTGCTCACAATTAGTGACCACTGTTATTAAAGAACGGAGAGCCGTGGATCTACGTCGGTGCCGGATTGCATTAGAGCGGAATTGAGTAGCACTAAACAGCGGATCTGATATGAAGACCAATACACCACTTTTCGACGCCCGGACACTGGTACAAAACAATTGAATTGGGTGCGAAGTTTCTCAGACCCATTAGTGATTCCGCTAAACAGATCGTTCGGTGCCTGTGGGTCTAACGTGCACCAGTATATGTTAAGAAATCGGTCGACCAATAGTCAGCCGTCAACTATTATGCCTAAAGTTGTTTACCCAGTTACGGCTTTCTCTGTCCGATGAACCCAAACAAAGAGGAAGGAAAAAGAAAGAAAAGAAAGGTATCAGTAGTACGCCGATGTACCGTACGGACGGTTCGCAGTCATGCGATCACCACTAGCTGCGCACGGGCTAGGAATACTGCGGTGAAACTTCAATTCCGATATGGTCTCAGTGGTGGCGCCAAGAGAGATAGCGTGTTGCAATTCACACAACGGGTTGTTTAAAAATTCAACCATGCACCCTATAATTACATGACACGATCATATGGAGGGAACCACTAAATAAGTACGAGCAATAAAATGGAAAACGCATTTTATTGAAACAATGATCACACAACGGTGAGTAAATCGGTGCAGGAGCGGAGAAGGGTAGTAGGACGTTCCATTAAAAATACAACAATCATTCGGAACGCCAACGATGGGTCACCCTAAGATAACCCGATTAGTTAACGAACTCCGTGCAATATCATTGGTGAGCAGTCATAAATAGATGTAGTACTAACAAATTATACTATGCTGTTGGTGTCCAGAGTAGTTCCGAAACTGTGTGGTCCAGTCGATATCCGAAGCCTCACTTCTTTCGCAGTAGAAACACGGTTTGTATACTAAGTTCTGTGTGTTACTTTGTTCAATGATAAGCAACTCGCTCATCGAGTTACCAACGCTCAAAGGTCATTCATATGTGGGTACTCCGGCAGTAGTGCACGGTATATTTCGTGAAATTTAACCGCTAGTGCACGATGTGGCTCTGATATCTTAAGATCCAAAGTGACGAGGTTGCACAATAACGTGGTATGATGGTCTGCGTACCTCCGTGATTCAATGGCCTACCCTGGGTGGCACTTTTCAGGCGTCTTCATACACACCCATTCCAGGCAGTTCAAAGGATAAAACTCAGGCCAACTCAGTCTCAACATCAGATTCCTGGGTGGTAAGAGAGAGAGCGACGGCCCTCTTTCTTTAAGAGTTAACTATTGAAAGCAACGGTCTACGAAATATGAACTTAGCTCGATTGATTTAGAACACAATCGGTCCAAATGGAGTCCGAAGTCACAATCTCAAGCCGAATGTGGTCTCCACTAGATTGTGAGTCACACTACTGAGTGGGTGGGACCCTTCAAGCAAACCTCCATTCAACACAGACTCGCAGGTCAGGCTGTTCGAGTCAACAACAATGGCCGTGTCACGAGGATCCCTTGTGTCTGGTGGCGACACCGAGTTCACAATAAAGGCACTAGAGGTCGCATTCCGGAGAACGCGAATATTCCTTTCAACAAGCTAGTTAAGATGGATCTGTCACGTTCTACGCATGGGGCTAAGCGTTTGCTGTGCCGTGCAGGATTGGGCTAGATGCGACCATGTGGCAGTCGGCCTTCCATTTGGTGACAACATATGAAATCGCTAGCGTCATATCCAGCCGATGTTGGACCAGCGCGTCTTCCTGGATGGGGCGCAAAGTTGAGGAAGGCAAGTGGTTTGGCAAACTTAAAGACATGGCTAGAAACTGGGATCAGTGGGAGAACTGTATGCAGAACTGTCTTGAGTAACATGTTGAATGCATCAGAAACTGCAAAGGACAAAAACGAAAAATGTGTTGTATCCTTTGTGCTCAAGTTGTGCTGTCCATTGATTTCCATGTTTTTTGGGCGGCTCCGTGTCTTTAGCCCGTTAATCGGGAACTAGTCCAGCAGTTCGACCTCGGCTTTGCCACATAGTTCTAAACTTATGGCAGCCAAAGCCTATGAGGCTCCATCTAGGTTACCGGTAATACGCAGGTGATATGTGACGTAGTAAATGTAGTAGTAGAAGGGACGGTCTAATAAATATACATCATCAGTACTCGTTAGCTGAGAGTGATAAACACGCCATAACTAATGTGCCGCAATACAAAAAGATAAGACAAAAAATTACACTGCAAAATTGATTCCAAGCAAGTAATATGATATTAAATTATGCTCCAATAAATATACAGAACCAGACGAAACAGTGAAATTCAGCGGATGACAAGTGGAGTCGCACCAGCATTATCATTACAGCACACTAGTTGAAGATGAGCAACACACTTCAGCCATTGTGCCGCAATGAATAAAAACGGAACGTTTTGTTACTTTTCCACACGCGATTTGTTGGTTTTGTTTTTGTAAACTGTTAGGTGTTAAGTATCTGAATCTAAAAAGTATGTACACAGATCTTCCACTGGGTTCGGCTGCGAGCCATTTCTTGAATTGTTTCGAGCCACCGGCACTCTTCGCCATTAGGTTCCCAAACATGCAAGCATGTTGATCTAACGGCAGCAGGACGCGAAGTCAATGAATTCATTTGCTTGCAACTGACGCGAGGATGGCCCCAAAAAAGATCTTTGCTTACGTGAAACGCCGTTTGAAGCCAAAAGGTGACGTGTCATGTCTGGAAGACGCGAACGGACACCTGCTAACTTCCAGTTCCGATCGCGCGTCCGCACTGGCCGCTCACTTCGCTTCTGTGTTTGCAAACGACGCGGCGTCCATATCCATCTCAGCGAGTAACAATCCTGTAGAACTCAACAGTTTGGTTTGTGATGTCGACGAGGTGCGCCTGCTACTTGCAAACCTTGACGGTACCAAGCCTGCAGGGCCTGACGGGCTTCATCCCCTAATTATCAAATCACTAGCTGCCATTATCTCGCCTGCTGTTACGGATCTATTCAACAAACCATTGTCTGAGGGCTCATTGCCAAACGACTGGAAGCGCTCGGTGGTGACGCCGATCCCGAAAGGTGGCGACCCCAGTAAGGTGGATAACTACAGGCAAATTTGTCTTACACCCGTTTTGGCCAAAGTGCTCGAGAAGATAGTAAAAAAGCGTCTAATACATCTGTTGCAATCGAAAGAACTTGACACCGGCACAACACGAATTCAGGATGGGATATTCTTGTGTTACCAACTTACTTGTGACGAGACAGGAATGGTTGCAAGCACTGAACCGGGGAAAGTCCGTCGACGTAATCTACATCGACTTCAGCAAAGCATTCGACAAAGTTAATCATGAATTGCTTCTAGACAGACTAAGGTCGTGTGGTGTCGGAGGATCGTTACATCGATGGATCCATGAATTTCTCGTTGGAAGAAAGTGGAGGGTACAGGTGGATGGCCATCTAACCGATTGGTGTCCCTCGACCAAGTGCGTACCTCAAGGTACGGTACTGGGACCCACTCTGTTACTCATCCATATCAACGAGCTGCCCCAGCTTCTACGGTCGCCGTGTGCACTGTTTGCGGATGACCTCAAAATTTGGCGAGAAATTAATACTCTCGATGACTGTGACATTCTCCAACAAGACCTCGACCGCCTCGCAGTATGGTCTGCTGAAGTCCACCTACCGGTCAACCCGGCAAAGTCCCTATTCATGAATCTCGGGAAGGTTGTTCACGGCCGAACGTACACTCTAGACGGCCAACCACTGCATCCCACACCTTCCGTGAAAGACCTAGGTGTACTCTCACGCTGCGACTTGAAGTCTGTCGACAACACCAACAAACTGTATCGAAACGGACTGCGCATGCTCTGGGCGCTGAAACGCAGCTTCTGCACTTGGTCTGAGGACGTCGCCACTCGCCTCTTCTCTTCCATCGTCAGACCAATGGTAGAGTACGGCTCGCCTGCATACTGTCCGATCACCCGCGGCGAAGCGCAAAAGATCGAACGAGTACAACACGTCGCCACCAAGTTGATCCCCAGCTTGAGAGGCTTATCGTATGAAAACCGGTGCATGAAACTTGGGCTCTACACCTTGTCATATCGCCGTGTTCGAGTGGATCTTATCATGACCTACCGTATTTTACATCTCGGTCATTTCCCCATGCTGAGGTCGTTACTCCACTTGCGAGTACCATGCACCACACGTGGGCACAGGTACAAACTCGTGGTACTCGATATGAAGAAAATCCCACACCCCCTGTGTTTCGAGCGGAGGGTTGTGCACGCCTGGAACAGTCTGCCAGAACACGTCGTCGAGGCCGAATCTGTGCAGAAATTCAAATCTTTGTTGGATTTGCACTTCGCTAACATAGGTTTCAGAGAACGGTTGCCACTTGACAACGATATCACCCACTTGTGACTCACTGTGTGAACAAGC